TCTGACCTTCTCTGCCACAGGGGAAAACTAGCTGTATCCAAAAGGAAATTAAGTATCATAAATAAAAAGGTAGCAATTAATTGTGTAGTCTCTTTTAAAGAGTCCCAAGCTTCCTTCGTCACACTCTGCCAGTTTATCAAATCTAGCTCCATTACGGTTGTCTTCTCTCTCAATTGATGGTGACATTCTAATCAGAAAGCCTCCTATGAACTGGAGCTGGCCTGTGATAAAAGAGCACAAACATATAGAGTGCATATAGGATTCTATCCGTCTTGCATTGTGAATTACAAATGTTCTGAATGTCAGTTTAATGAGTCATGCAGCAGCCCTTCAATGTTCTAAGTCACTGGTCCAATTAATTTTTTTAGTGCCCCTAAAATGAATCGGAGGATCTGTGTCAAGTAATACAGGGGTGGCTTTTGCCTGCCCCTCTCCGTCCCTTTTACAAATCAGACTTAGCCAAGCTTTGAAGCCACGATAAATTAATCAGGTTGATTAACTGGGTCATAATTTAATAGAACATTCAAAAATGAATTTTCCAGGGAAAAGATTCACAACATTGGGTGCCTATAGAGAATGTTATGCAGCACTGTGAAAGGATAATGGTGTGTGAGGGTGGAATGGGGGGGTGTCTTTGAGCGGAGGGCCTAATGTTTGAAGATGCTTGATGTTTAGGAAAGGTTTGCTTCTTGTTTTTTCAATGTTTCTCCTTGTTTTCTACTGTTTTCTACTGTTAATGTACTGCTGTACTTAATCTGTGAGGGAGAGGCACCTGCTGTCTGAACAGAGTCACTGAACTATTTGGGGTAGGCCAGGAACTGTAGTCACTGGCTCATACATTGCATTAAACTATGGTGTGTGTAACCTTGATTCCTTTTATAAATAAGAGTTGGCTGTCTTCATATCTGCAAAGTCATAAACCATAAAACATACACAACAAACTAGTATGACTAGACTTGCACAACATATTTGTGGACATTTGTGCCTCAGGGTTGATTCATTCAATGAACCATTGGTTTGCTTTCTTGCCAGTCTCTGGTAGTGTGTTCTCAGGCATCTTCTCCAACGCTAAAATACAAAAGCATCAATAATCTTCCCATTCTGCTTGCTCCATATCCAACTTTTGGTTCCACAGTGTCAGAGGAAATACTGAGACTTGCACAATTCTGATCTTGTAAGATTCATTGGGGATATTTTCTGGAATGCATTTCCCCACAACCTTGGCTAGATTCAACCTATTTTCTCTGCTTATCTTACCAGTCCCAGTTTGATCAACTTCTGATTTTTGGAGGATGACTTTTCTGTAAGATAGAAGTGTCTATTCTGGTTACTTTGGTGGAATACATAATTACATATAAAATGATCAAATTATATTAATATTTAACAGGTGTGTGGTATCTCCAGATATCAAAAGCACGTTGTAAAAGTTCTGCACACCAAAGCTGTGCTGCCATTTATGATCCTCTACTAGGTGTTCATCACACAGCCCACAAACATGTTTTAGCAGAGCAAAACTGCTCAGGTTCTGCATATAAAATGTGAATAAACCTATCTTCAAATATGTCAATTCCCGCATTGTAAGGCGTATACTGCGGGTGCTGTTTGCCTCTTAAGTGACTTTATCCTTACAAAAGGTATACTTAAAATTGTTCTTAGCAATCTCTGTGACTTATAGGAAATAGTGATTTCCGCAATTATATGAGGGATTTAGTTTCAGTTCCTGGACTACTCTAAGAATGTCTACGACAGTTAACTTATGGTGGCTATTTATAGACCATCATGCTGTGTCTGCAACCATGTCACTTGCATTATAAACATGAAAATGATGTGAAACTGTGGACACCTCTGCTTCTCAGTAATGTTATGTCAGTGTTCTCTAGGATCAGGTGGAAACAGCCTCGCATCCTGTTCAGGACATATTTTTGCATGTAGTTCTCTGTATGAGTCATCCCCTCTATAAAGTCCTGCTCAGTGGTGGTATTCACTTACCTTCGCTATTGGTTCACAAATAGGAGCGCACGTGCCACCTCTGTACATGCGCAGGATCTTCTGTGTATGCGCAGAGCGTCAAAAACGGCATGTGATGATGATTGGGTGGGTGGGTGGGTGGAGCCTCCCGCAGTCGCCGCTACTGGTTGGCCCGAACCGGATAGAACCAGCTGAATAGCACCACTGGTCCTGCTGGTCATTCCCAAGAATAGCACAGCTGACAGTCACGGAACCCTCTAGTCACATCCCAGTGCATCTTTACAGAGGGAAGAGGCTGTTCATGTAGGCACTTTGACATGCAAAACCTCCAGTTTCCTACAAATATAGCCAAATGATTTCTTTTAGTGAAAAAAACACAATTGAAGTATCTTGTTTACAAAAGCCATTTCGACAGCTAATAACACACCAGAAGCCCATTTTCCCATAATGTTTCATAACGTCCCTTCCTACAAGTTCCCTTTGCCACTACAGGCCTCTTACTTAGTTTTTTTTACTAAGTTTACTAAGTAAACTAAGGCCTCATCAGCAGCCTTTCATATGTTGCCAGCATACTTTGTCATTGCACATGAATTTAGGGCCGCTAATTCTGTTCATTGACAGAGGTTTGGTTCCATATTACGCAAAGCTAAGGAAAGGCTCAACAAAATCAGGCCTTTGTTTTATCCCAGTTCAGAGCAATTAAAGTTCTGAATATACAGAAATCTATACAGAAATTAAAATCTGAAAACAAGGCTGGTGAGAGGTTTGATTATTAGTTCCTGCAAATTCTAAACCAGGGGTTTCAGACAACTGGAGTTCAGACAACACAATATATCTCAATCTGATTAATAAAACATATCCTTCGCAGTGTCCATTTCTGCAAGATGTTTTTCTGTGGCACATACCTTCTTATTGATCCATTACCTTGGGCTATCATGGCATGCAAACACAACTAATAATTAATGTAAAATTTAGATCAAGAGCTAACAGATGTTTTGTCCTCTAAATCTGGTCTCTCAGTTTCTTTAGGGACCAAATTTCTCCCTCTGGCCGCACTTTGGACAATCAATCTGATTGTTTGCATCATAGCCTGTCATTGGCAATTGAGCGTAAAGGTATTTTTTTTTTAAAAAGCTAATGAACAATAGTAGAGTTGTCTTCATAATCAATTTGGCCAACATGACCTGGAAAAAGATTGAGAAAGCAGCATTTTTCTATTGACAGCACATACACAGGTTCGTTTCTTTGTCAATTTAGATAAAGTAGGTTTTGCTGTTGAAGTTATAGATAATTTGGGGAGAAAAATTCTTGAGGTACCTGTAATGTTATCACAGCAGCAATAATCTTTCTTCTGTGGTGGGAGTTATGTTTTATTCTTCAATCACAGTCTGGGTTACCTCTAGCTACCTCCCCTCCCCTCAAGACTCACAAATTCCTATTTCTGTTCAGGTGTTTCACATGAAATATTTATTGTATTACCTAAATTGTATTTTGCATTTCCTGCGTGGATAACAACGTCAGAATCATATGTTGAACTGTTTGCAAACTTTTGTTTGCATTCCACTATCATATTCAATCTCTTTTAGGGAGGGAGGGAAGAAGTACTTAACAAATTTTCTTCTAACAGCAAAACTGCCAATCAACAACTGATAACTCTTCTTTTTGGAGAGAAAAAGTGTTGGTCCCTCAGACCGTTTGAACGAAACGTCCACATATTTAAGAATTACTATTCAAATTTACGGCCGTTGCAGAACTATTTCTCAGAATACCGACCGAAGAGAAACCTTGAATTTTCCAGGGAGGTGGTGGGTTTTAGCCGTTAATCAGCCAGACTAAAGATGTGAAATTGGACGGAAATCTCCCACTTCTCTTCCCCCCTCATGAAGTGGAAGAAAGGTATGGAAGCAGCTGTTCCCCATAAATCGTCTGGCCGGAGACATATTTCTGCTGATCCTATGGCCCCCCCAGCCCCTCCCCGCACCCTTCCCAAGGACGAAATTAAGTCCCCTACGAAAACTTATTTCCAATTATACGCGCCCGCGTTCGCCAACGCTGCAAACCTCAAAAAGTTCTCCGGGAACGAACGCAAGAAAAGGCTTGCAAAAACAAACGAGGTTCCGCGAAAAGGGCCAAAACGTTATTGAAAACCTTTCATGCTTGTGTCTCAGCCTCCCCCCCCCCCCGCCATTACAACTTACAAACGCCACTCATTCCATTTGCCGCCCATGCTTACAAAACGACTTGTGGGGTCCCTTGTAGCCGTGACAGGGTTGCGTTGCAGAAACCCAGTTTGCGCTGCAAGGGCGTTGCCCTCGCGCGAGCGCGGCTCGGATTTGCGCGCGCCGGCGACCTGCCTCGGTTTGCACCCATCTTTGGGAATCAACCGCGTTAAGCGGGGCGGTGGAAACGTTTCCTATTGAAACGGGCCCACCAGCAAAACCAGAGAAGAGTTTGGTGGCGCCTTCAAGACCAACCCGGGTTATTTTGTGAACCCTGCCGCTAAGTTTCGGCAGGCTGCAAATACTGCATCCAGACAATATTGCTTTTTGTACAAGGCAACTGGATTTTCTTGGGTGTGTGTTTTTTTTTCTTTGAAAACGTTTGCTTCTCATCCAAGAAGCTTCTTCAGTTCTTGGATGCCAAGCGAAGGTTTTCAAAGAAAAAAAAAACATAGAAAGTCCAGTTGCCTTTTGGAAAAAAGCATCTTTGGGACAATCACGACCTGGATGGAGGATTGAGAATCTCCATAGACGTTTGCAAGTGGCTGTAACCCGAAGGAGAAGCTTCCGTGCCAAAGGCCGTTGCATCGCAGGGATCTCTCTGCAAGGAACCTTATAGACTGGGCCTAGCCAGGGGTGGGGTGGGGTGGGGGTCAGGCTTGCATAAAGCCGCTGGAGGGCCTTGGGGGTGGAGCCAAGAGCGCCCGGGAGCGGGTCAGGGCTCTGGAAATAAACCTTCGAACAAATAGCAAAAAGTTGAGCGAGTTCCCCATTTGACCCGCGCGTCTTTGCAAAGTGACGAGGTGGGCTGCTAACTTTGCACGGCTTTTGCTGCCACCTGCCAGCCGGCTCTTCCAGAAGCTGCACCCGCACCCAAGCAAAAAGCAACCGCTTTTGCAGGCCAAGGCGAGCTGCTTCCTCCGGGGGGACCTTCGCCCGTCCTTTTCAGGCTTCAGGCTTTAAAAAGCGAGCCCTTCCTTGCAAAGCCGAGCAATTCTTTGCACTTAACGGCTCGGAAAGGCGCCATGCCCAACGAGACCTCCTTCAGCAAGCCGTCGGCTTCGTCGGAGCATCACGCCCAGGGGACCAAAACGGGCCCTTATGGGAAGGCTGCCGGGCTAGCGGCCGCCGGAGGTGGCGGCAACTCGGGGGGTTTAACCCAGGGCCCTGCTGGGGCCGTCACCGCCGCGGGGAAAAAGTCCCCGCGGCTCCCCAAGTGCGCCCGCTGTAGGAACCACGGCTACTCCTCGCCCCTGAAGGGCCACAAGCGGTTCTGCATGTGGAGAGATTGCCAGTGTAAAAAATGCAGCTTGATCGCCGAGAGGCAACGGGTGATGGCCGCCCAGGTGAGCAGCCGGAGGGTTTAGCAAGGAAAGAAATGGCGGGGAACCGGCTCTGGGGCAGAAAAAGCACAGGGCGGCCTTACTTGCCGCTCGGTGATGCTGGTTGGAAAGTAAAGTTCATCCCCTAAAACTGTGCTCGGGAGAAATGGGTAGGTTTGACCTGCTGTGTAAAAAAAAAACAAACTCCCGGATGCTTTTTCTGCAGGAACCCTTAACTTCGTTGCCGGAGTTGAGGATAAATTTGGGGGGAGAAAAGTATGTCCCGCACCGCCTAAGATACTGTTCTGTCTTTCAGCAAAAGTATGCATAACCTTTTTATTGTCCAAATAATACCCACTATGGAATTCAACGTTATTCTCTGTTTTCACATTTTTCCTCCTTTCTTAGCATTAGTTTCAGATAGCGTCGGGCTTCCTAATACTCTAGGATTGTTTTGCAAGTAATAATGCTTGTTATATGTAGAGTACGGTATCTAAAAGGAAAAACAGAAATCAGATGCGATGGAAAGGAATCCTGCAACGGATAGTGCAAATTGTATCGTTGCATTTGAAAGCATTTGTAAGTATGAGAGTGATTTTGATAGTGAAAATAATAAATAAGGTAATGGAAGAGTGGTAGGTTCTAGGTCCTAGATCCTAACTAGGTCAGTGAAAGATTCTTACCATTAGTTTAGTTTTTAATCAATGAAAACTTTATGACATCAAATTTTAATATTAGTACACAAGCATCATGTTTATGTCTTTGTTTTCATTTACAAGGTTTGCAAAATAATGTATTGAGCATTTTGAATTGCAAAATCATTGTATTAAAAAAAATTCTTCCTGTTAGAAAACTGTACATTAATGTATTTTTAATTTTTTTTCATTCAGAATGTTTAACTTGAATCATGAGGAATTAGAAAAATTATACTGAAATTTTCAAATATCAACATTTTTAAAGTTTTACAAATAATTGTAAACTTAAAAAAAAAACACTGTAGGCCATTTCTGAATACTTTGGAAAGAGTGTTGTCATAATCTTTCAACAGTTTTTTTCCCCCTCAATTTAGCCTCCCCCAGTCTAGCAATCTCCAGATGTGCTGGGAATTGTAGTCCAAAACATCTCAAGAATGCCAGTTTGGCAAGTCAAAAGTAGAATGCCATTCCACCAGCGCCCAATTATTTGGCTTATCCGGGTGTTAATTTTTTAAAAAGAAATTGGCACAGAAGCAACATACATTTACACTTGTCTTACAATAGATTGTTGCACAAGGGCAATTGTTAAATATTAGTTTTGCACTTAGAGTTATGTCCAATTGATATGGGATTTATAAGACCACAACTATCTAGGGCAAAATTTCCTGTACTACAATCTCAGTAATTAATATGCTGGTTTGTGCTGCTTTGCTTTTATCATTAAAGTTGCTCCCATAGTTGATTGCTTTAAGTGAATATGAACAAACTTTGTCTTTCAGAAAGATACTTTATTCTGCAGAGAGTAGTCATTTCAAATACTCCAAAGGAAACAACTGCATTTTTTATTATTAATATAACATTGATCCTACTGATGGAAAGGCTTGTTCCAACAATGGTTCAGCATCTATTCACCTTTCTTTATGTCACTACAAAATAATACTTAATATTAGCTAATATTGCATCACCAGCCCTTAGCTTGTTGCAATAGTGTCTGTTATGACTAAAGTGCTGTCCATGTTTTTTGCTTTACCACTTGCTTCAGCCTTTGATTGGTGTCTCAACATTATAAGGCTTGGAATAATATCTAGTTATCTAAGCATATACTTCGATACCATTACATACAGTTGTGCAATTGTGACTTTGGGCCAGTCATAGTCTCTCAGCCCAATTCACCTCAGGATTGTTGTTTTGGATAAAATAAGAGGAATGAGTATTAGGAATGTTGGATTACTTACAAAATAATAAAGATGAGATAAAAATCTAATAAATGAATAAAATTACCGTTATCTCTACAAATATAACAGAAAAGCAATCAAAGGCCCAAGGAGTCACTCCAGCAAGATTAGGAAGAGGATCTTCTAAATGGGAATTGCTTGTAAAGAGAGGGAGAATAGAGTGAAGGTAAAGATGTAATAAAAAGACCCTCTATTTCTTAAGGAGTTTTGTTCATTTGTAAAGACTTAATAGGTAAAAAAAGTAATGGTGATCTCCTTAACGTTTGCAAGTAACAAGTAAATAAAATATGCATTGCCATTAGGAAATGATTTTAGCTATGAGCTTGAATGAGCTACCATTCAATAGTGATAATTTGCAGTTCTTCTAAGAATCATTATAAAATTTAAAATTTTTGATTTCGTTCATAGTTTTTATATTATAAGATGTTTTCAATACTTTAAGAGGGTCACTGCCAGCTTCATAGTGACAGATAAGAAGTGGCAGTCACAGAGGCAGACCAGTGACCAGAGTGAAGAGGTCATGCAGGGACACAAACAGTGAACCCCCAAATACACTGCAGCTGATCACCTGACCTCCGTACCATGAAGAATGGGTGCCAGAATTTGCAGATTTAATCTCCCTTCATACTATGATGCAACAGTGGTAAAACTCATTTTGGTATTGTGATGGAATGTAATAAGGAGGATCCCCAGGAAGAATGGAGTGCAATCCAGAGGGGTAAGAGCCAACTCAGTCTGGATATTACATGTGAGAGAAAGAGGGTGAAGGCAGCCCCTCTCTAATAGTTACATAATATATTGTAGATACAAATAATAGAGTCCTCAGTCTGGCAAGATTTTATCTATACAGGTATGAAAACAATAAAGAACTCGGTGTAGATGAATCATGTCATTCTTGGATTTTGGCTAACAGATACATGGACATAATGGCATACAGCTGTTTAAATCATGGCCTGAGGCTACCAGATGATCAGGGAAGAAATTTGGGTAATAGAGACACGCTGATGTTGCTGTAAACTACAAATGGGACGGGGCTTTAGAAAGTCCTTCGACAGTTCAGTTTACATCACTAAAAAGGAAGTGATTGCTAAATACATTCTGGTTCTGTTAGAAATCATTTGGAAAACAACAAAAAAAAAAAACCCCTGTGAGTAGGGTTTTATAATATATGTCTGAATTATAATCTCATATTTTAGCTATTGCCAGCTTCTATTGTTTGATAAGCATGTTTATTTAAATACAGTAGACCTCGACAACAACAGACCCCCAAATTTTCATTTCTAAAGCAAGACAGTTAAGTGCGTTGTGCGTTTATGATCTTTTTTGCCACAGTTGTTAAGTGAATCTAGTTTCCCTCATTGATTTTTCTTGTCATAGGTTGGGTGGGATGGTTGCAAATGGTGAATATATGATGTGACACTGAGGCAATCCAACTGTCAGAAATACATGTCAGCTATCAAATGCCCAAATTCTAATCATGGGGATGCTGCAACCGTTGTAAGTGTGAAAACTGGTCATAAGTCACTTTTTTCAGTGTGGTCATAACTTCGAACAGTCACTAAATGAATGGTTGTAAGTCGAAGACTACCTCTATGCAGACAGATACTACAATCTACCCAGAGGACAAGAAGTCTCTATCCTTCTTTAGCAGCCCTTTGAATTTCATGCTAACTGCACAGAAGAAAAGTAGAATATCAGCACCTTACCAGGTTTCTAGTCATCTCTTAAAAAGAATGTGGAAATGCCTAGACTTTGTCCATTTAAATACCATATGTTAGAAAACATTACTAAACTGCTAAAACAATAATAGTAGTAAAGCAATATAGCTTTCATTATTCAGACAATTTATATTTCAGATTTAGTATCATTACTTAAATATGAGAGTTTAGTGTAAAAACTAAAGTATTGCTGTCTAATTTGGCTTTCTCAAAGCGATGCTGTCTTAATGTTATGGACAACAGCTTTTATCAGTCATTTTAAACAAGCCTTTTGGGGAATTTTAGTGTTACATGCATGAAGATAACAGATAGGGAGACATTATTAAATGAATGGTTCTGTATGTATGCCACTTCGCTTCCAGGTTAAATTGAAATGGATCTGGTTAATAACTTGGAAGGGAGCTCAGCAGAAATTGGAAGGCTATAGGCTAAACTTTGGGGGGGGGGAATAATAAGACAGTAGCAAATCTCTTCCATATTGCTACAAAGCTGTCTGGGTAAAGAATGATCAGATTTGGTATTTGAAGATGGGATTGAATTTTAGCCTGTGCAATCCAAGGCATACAGATAGTCCTCAATTTATGATTACAGTAGGGACCAGAACTTCTGTCATTAAGCAATGCGGCTGTTAAGTAAGTCATGCCCAATTTTACAAACCTTTTCCCGTGGTCGTTAATCACTCTGATCATTAAGCAAACTACACAGTTTAAGTATATCTGGCTTCTCCATTAATTTTGCTTGTTGGAAGCTACCTGGGAAGGTTGCAAATGGCAATCACATGACCCCAGGACCTTGCAACCTTTGCAAATACATGCTGGTTAGAATTGTGTGATATCAGTGTGGAAGCAAACAGCTTGTATCTTACTGGCCTGATGCTAGATATGTTGCAAACTGCAGCACTGGGTCTGAAAACTGGAATTGTAGTAAGGTTACCAGGTCTGGACTGCAAAAATTTGAATGACAACTAGATGGTGGCAAAGAGAAAAATAATTTTTTGAAGCCCAGCACTAGCACTACCATAGTTGCCGTGGAATATTTATGTTTAAGAAATGTTTAATTTGAAAACAGTTACCTAAAATTTTGTAGCTGTTGGTTGCAATAAAGTTGTAACTGCTTAGGTGTATGATAGCGTGAGGATCAAATCTTGCAGACTCTGATGCCTTGAACCTCAACACCCATCATCCCCAGCCACAACACTGTTGGAATTATAGTCACTAGCACATCATATCTGAAGTGTCTTGACTTGAAAAAATTGCTTTCTTAGATAAAAAAAAAACTTATCTCTTCAGCAGATCCAAACTTAATCTGTTAAAAAGATGCAAAAGTTCTACATTTCCACTGAATTAATATCAGTTGACTTGATTATTAATGTTTTCCTTCCTGGTGCATTAAATGTTAAAATGTGTTTTGGTTTAATGATATTCGTATGCCTGTTTTTGCTTCCTGTAGCCATGGTGTTACATTCTCTGTTTCTGCATTCTGATTCTTTGTTATCAGTTAACCTACTTTTTCATTTTGTACCAGTCTCAAAATCAGCCATACAGTATTTTTTCTGGTAGTTAGTTCTCAAAATTTGGTGTGTTTAGAACATGTCAAGTGTGAAACAGCCCCTCCCAGTCATTTTGAAAGTCATTTTGTGCTCTGAACAATTTTGTTTCTGCTAAGAACACTTTCCAAATAATTGAAATAATCTGTTTTGTATTTAAGACAGGCATGTTTTGAGTTCAGAACAGTTCAGATTTGAAACATTTTTCACAGTCTTGCTCAATATTATGTAACTGTTAAAGGATCTGTGCTAGGAAAAAATGCCATTTCTTAATGGTAACTCTGAATGAGAGACATACTGTATATATTTTACATATGTGCAATTAAGTGGCCCAGAATATATAGTCTTGTTTCACTTTGCTTACATTGCAACAGCATAAGATAATTTATATGTTCAGGAAATGTTCAGGAAAGATCTGCCTGGACTGGCTTCAGTGAGATTTCTGTAAAATGAGTGCTCTGAACTTGGAATGTGATTTTAATTCTTTTCCAGAGCAGAATAGTGCTTTGAAAACCTCACATTTGCTGCAGAAATTCTGTATCAAGTACTTTGTATTATTTTGCTTTAATAAGGCTTACATCCTGAGGTGCCCAAAAGACTCATGTGGTATGCATATGAAATTATTATGTGAAAAATTATGTTGTTTATGAAAGATAGATGCTGTTAATCCTACTCACTCCAGTTGACTACATCCTTTGTTATAAGACATGAATAAAAAGAATCCCCAAAGAATCTCCATTGTTGATTTTCAGTAAAAAGGGTTCATTTAATTACAGTGGAAATTGATCCTTCATATTACAAGGATCTCAGTTTGTATTTCAGGGGGTTTCCAAACTCATTAAAGCAAAGGGTTAAAAAATAACACTTAACTAAGTTTAGATAGCTGCCACATTAGAAATCTTATTGGTAGATGCTTACCTTTTAGGTTTCTTTAACTTTTTTCTCTTTATCTTTTCTTTAATTTTTTAGCTTTAAAATTATGTCTTTATTTACATCCATAAACCTTCATGTGTGTTAAGATAAAGAAAACTGCAGTGTTCCGCCCAATTTTGCTACTGTTGTTTTTCAGATAACTGTGCAAATACAGTGTAACTTTCCCGTTTCCAGGTTGCATTGAGAAGACAACAAGCCCAAGAGGAAGAGCTGGGGATTAGCCACCCCATCCCATTGCCTAGCGCCACAGAAATGTATGTGAAGAAAGAAAACAATGCTAACAGTTCCTGCCTGTTGGAAAGCACCAGCCCACCCCAGTCGACAACCACAGCAACTGTAGTGTCTACCTCATCCACAGGTAATGTCCTGGATAAAGGCACCTCCCATCAAAGTCTTACATCTGAAAAAAAAATACATTGTCATGAGTTTCTTGGATGCTTAACAGATCTAATTTGATTTCAGTAAATCGGGGATTTACTGAATAAATGCATAAAAGCACATACAATAATCCTATGGAGATCCTCAGTCATCCAGGTCATGGTTGTCCCAAAGGTGCTTTTTCAGGAAGCTTCTTGGATGAGAAGCAAAATGTCTTCAAAGAAAAACCAGAAGTCCAGTTGCCTCTTGAAAAAAGTACCTTTGGTACAGTAATCCTGTTTTATGTTACATCTTTACAGCGTACATTCTTTTAAAGGTATCATTTTGGTTAAAGTTGAAGAGCCTGCCTTAATCCGATTAAATTATTTGTCCATAAATTCAATGTTGTTGTTTTTTCAGACTCTATTCGGTTTGACAGTGATTCAGAAGAAAAGCTTTAGACTAGGGATTTTGAACTTTTCAGCCAGAAGATTTGTTAGTTAAAAAAAATATTTGTGGGATCCCTGATCAAAAGGGCCCAGGTTACAATCACTGCTTCGTGAGCTGCATTGGTTGCCCATTTGCTTCCAGGTGCAATTCAAGGTGTTTGTTATAACCTTTTAAAGCAATGCATGACATGGGTCTAGTCTACTTGAGGAACCATATCACCTCAATGGGACTGGCCCACTCCACCCATGCCGGCAGAGGGGGCATATTGCAGATCCCATCAGCCAAAGAATTTTGGCTGGTGGGATCAGGAGAAGTGCCTTCTCTGCCATGGCTCCTGCCTCTGGAATATCTTACCCCCAAAGTGAGATTGGTTCCCACCCTCCTGATGTTTCCTAAAAGCCTTAAGATCTGGCTTTGCCAGATGGCTTGGGGACCCAGTGGGAGATCTTCTTACTGGAGCTGGTTGACTAATTAAAACTTAATCCCACTTCCCCCCTCCCACTCCTGGTATGTCTTTCCTTTCCCATCTGGTATTAATGATTTTATTTGTTAATGATATTATTTATTTATTGGTTCGATTTATATGCCGCCCTTCTCTGGAAACTCAGGGCGGCTTACAATGTGTTAAGCAATAGCCTTCATACTTTTGTATATACCTGCTTAGTAGGGCTTTCGGGGGGCCCCTAAACGGTGTTCTTTTTTATACAAAGTCATCTTATTGCCCCCACAATCCAGGTCCTCATTTTATCTACCTCGAAAGGATGGAAGGCTGAGTCAACCTTGAGTTCAAATCTCACTTGCAGTAATTGCAGGCAGTTGGTGCTATTTAACAGCACTTTAATCTGCTGCGCCACCAAGGCTCATACAATTATCCATTGTATTTCTATGATTGTTGAGTTTTATTACTTTTAATGCTTTAATGTTTTTTGTTGTAAGCTGCCTAGAATCTTTGGTTACAAGATGGGTGGCAAATAAATTTCATAATTACATACATACATACATACATACATACATACATACATACATACATAACAATAAAAAGGCAAAGTGCAAGTGATAAAAAATTGACAGCATTTACACGTACTTTTTTTCACTGTTAGTCTTTCTCAGAACTCCAAGGTTTTTTTTAAACCATGTTTTAGACTTTATAAAGTGTGGCATAATTCTGGTATTCATTGAGGCATTATTTGGGGGGGAGGGAGTTGAGGTTGCATGAGCCTAAAGAAAGTTGTGGTTGCAGTAAGAGGCAGAGATACGTTAATGAGTTGACTCCTGAAGCCTTCCATTTTTGCTGAAACCCAGAAACCCATGTGAACCACAATGAAGGATGCTGCAAATCATAGTTCAGTGACCACTGAAAAACCCTCAGATCTCAATTGGCTTTAAAAAAGCAATTTTAACTGCAGTCTGTAGTTTAGTTTGGTTATTTGAAAAATTGCATTCCCTCTCAATCTATGGATTATGCAGAACTTCCTGCATTCTAAATTATATAGCCAGTAAGTCCTGTTAAGAACAGTCAGCAGAATGTTATATATAATTTCTTATTTATACACTTAAGTTCCTCTGAGTTTGAGCAGAATTGGATACCAGCAAAAGAAATAAATGTCCAGGCACAGCTCTAATAAGTCACAGAAGTCGATGGCAGTTTCATAATTTGTGTTTCATTCTTCTCCCCAGTTGAGACAGTTTGAGCAGCCGCCATTATTGTCCACAAGTCCATGACACCAGATTTTTCATTTGACAACTCCAGAAAGCAGTGGGTTCATTCCTTTCTTGTGAAGGTTTTCTCTCCCTCCCACTTCCTTAGAGGTATAGCAGTTTTTCTTTCAAACTTCATCACACTGTACATGGTTTACAGAGAGAGGGATAGGGTGTGAAGGAGCCACACAAATCATACAAGGTACCAGAAAAGTCTTTTTTTTTTGCTGTATCCATTTTATTGGCAGGCCAGAAATATTATGGCACATTGAGAGGCCAGAGTCAATTTTTCAAGCCTCTGGTGACACACCATGCTTCCTGAGGGGGAAAAAGTAAGAAGACAGAACAAAAGGGGGAAAAAAGGGAGAGGGCTTACCATTATTTTCATTCCTAAATCTTGTCATTGTATTTCAGTATGTTTATTTTTAAAACTGGTTATGCTAATGGAGATAAAGAACGTAAAAGAAGCATGAAACAGATGTTTTGAGCCTGAAAATTCCGCACTTCTTACTGAAAAGGATCTAGGCTTAAGATTGTAGCCTAAATACATCACCTTCAGCTATGATAAAGTAGAGGAAACTGGATGGGTTACATGAGAAAATGAAATAATGAAGGTATTTTGATAGCTAAACCTTTAGAAACTTGGTGCTTGTGTGAGAAAAGCAAAAGAAGGATTTGTATTTTCATTGTGCCTATGTTACTTACGTATTTTTCTCACTAGGACAGAGAACATAATCCTCCTCCTTCTCCTGAGCTTGGGCCATTCAGAACCATATCTTAATTTAAGTGTGACACTGACTCTTGTGTTTGTATGTGTGTTTGAAATGTGACTTGGTCCACATGGCATGGGCATACATAAAGCACATACAGTACGATTCCTCTGCAAAAGATAACTTTTTATCTCTTGAAGAATTCAATGTGTGTCCTGGTTGCCAAGAAGAAAGAAAGAAGAATGCAGCACATTGCTCTTGAGAGAAAATAAAAACAAATTCTCACATCTAATTTAAAAGGGGGAAGAATTATATTGTCTGTCTTTTTAAGAGCAAGACCAACATGCATGAAGACTGTTGACCCATCTCTTCTACCACCACTTGTACCTTGATTGAGCAGATTACGGTATGATGATTTGGTAAGAAGGCATCCGCTTGTAAAGGGGTTCATGCATATGATTATTTCTTAGATATAGTGGTGCTTATTCCTGATTTTAGCTCAAAAACAGACCATCTGTGCCTCCCAATCCAATTCTTTTGGAACCCATCCATCATATTAAAAAACCCTAGTTTCAGCTGGGGTCAAAAAGCCTTCCTTTAAAAAGGCTTGATATAGTTTTTGAACAATCTCCAAAATTCCATGAAATAAGTAAAATCCAAGTTTTCCTCATATTTAAGGCCTACTCTATCAAGCTTTTGCCTTCTCATCCATGTATTGGTGGAATCTGGCCAGAAAAGGGTTATCTCCTCCTCCTGTTGTACAAAATGGGAACATAGCTGCCTTTAATACCCCCAAAATGCACCCCCAAAATGCAATGTGCACACGGCCCCCCTGCATGCGCCCCACCCCCGTGTATGTGTGCACACACCCCTGCATGCATTCACCCTGCGCATGCGTTCACAGCCCCCTGCATGCCCCCTGGAACCCGCACATGCACGGCAGAGACACGAAGACCAGTTGGCCAGCGGGAAACGCATGCTCAGGCACAGTGGGGCGGCGGCTTGCATGCCACCAGAGAGGGCACTGCGTGTCACCTCTGTCACACGTGCCATTGGTTCGCCATCAAGGACATAGGGGTATGACTAATTTGTTAGTCAAACTTAGATTATTAGAGGTGATCACAATATAATTTTTAAGATATTTATAAAATACTAGCACAAAATGCTCAGGATTTTAGAAATGTGCTTTCATAATCTCTCTTTAAGAGATTGAACTATCTAGCAAGACCAGAATTTAATACTTAAACTTCTATTAGATTTGAGGAGAAAAAAGTAGTTGTATTGCTAATTTTTCTTTTGAATACATTAATCACATTTGGTGGTAACAGTCTGTTATTATATGAATACAGTTCTACAAATACGTGCAAAAGCCATTTTTACATGCAAAGCCATTTTTTAGATTTAGCCGACTCCAAATATTTGGATGGTTTGACTAAGAATTTTGGAAGTTTCATTTTAATCTATCTGAAAGATACTGGTGTTAAAAAACAAAATACCACATTTCTTCCCTTTTCATTTGCCTACATGTAGTTTATTGTTTCATCAAAAAAAATCTATGAGATAAAAGCTACTAGAATGAAGATGGTCAGTAGGTAAATTGGTGGTGCAAATTAGCATATATGTGCAAAACCTGTCTCATTGGTGTAGATTTGGGGATTGCTGGAATTGTTTTAATCTCCAGTTAATCCATATATTCTCCTATAGTGTATCCATGAAGAGCTTCCTAGATCTTCATACTAACAGAATTGGGTATGAAAAGGATATATTGTAATCTTCACTTTGCTTCTTCATTCCAACCCAATGAATGGCTAATTGGAACAGGAGGGGAAAAGCAAACCTGTCCTAAATTTATGAATACCCTGTTAAATATTCAAACTGGTATATTGAAATCCATTGTACATGGAGGCTGCATGATTTGAAGTGTTCAGCTGGAATGCTGTGCAACTACTCAGTTTTGCAAGGTGAGTAGAGTATTCAGTATTTTATGATTGCTAGCCACTTACCAAATGATCATTTCTGAATTCAGATTCAGCTGGATGGTTTTCATTTTGTTAAAACTTTAAATAGCTTGAAAGAGGCTAGAGTTAATAACTGTTAATTATTTCCTACATTGACTTTTCTCTGACAAATTAAAAATCTAGCATACAGTATTTATTTGTTTGTCTCGGCCGTATTGGTTACAGAAATGCAGCATCGATGCTGAATTTAGCCATGCCATTCCATTCTTGATTAACAGTAAGTTCATTGAAACACTCATTCCTAAATCCTTAGAAGTGTTGATCAAGGTGAATGTTAGTCATTTATCAGCCTGTTCTATCCCATATATTGGCAACTGGAGGTCCAGGAAATGTAGTCAACAACACCTGGTAAGATTGAAGAGGGCTGGCCTATGTTTTAAAATTATTAGGAAGTTTTCCCAGGGTACAGTCTGTAATGAGCTTTGAATATCAGTACCATATGGGGTCTTTGTCCTTCTCCAGGCTAGATTAAGGATTCTGTGATCTCATGCTATCATGTCTGTTCAGCAGTTGAACAATAAAAAAAGTTGGTGCTGTATGGTATCTGGAGTAGTAGTGAAGGCAACTGTTTTGTTAAAAGTTTTGGAGAAGGATGAGCCAGTTTCCATTTGATGATAACTGTTGTTATCTCACCTCCCAGCTCCTGGATGCTATTTAGCCTGTCTTCTTGTAGAGCTCGGGTGTCAAACTAGATCACATGACACGTAGCAATGTTTTTTTTGCCTTTGCGGAGCCAGGGTGGGCGTGGCCTGCATGTGATGCATCTGGCCCACGGGCCACCAGTTGGATACCACTGCTGTATAGAGCTTCAGTTGCTGACCCAATACTATCCAAATACCACCATCTCCAGGACTTCAAATGCAAGAGAGGGCATGTACTTCGGCCACTTGGGAGTTTCTCTCATAGCAGAAGTTGGTTTTACAAATCACAGTACAGATGCACACAACGTGAACTAAAAACATGGAATAGATGGAGCTTTAAAATGGAAAGATGTTTTTGCATTCTGCTGGGAAATTGAACTTCGAATTACTTTTGTGAGATTGGGAAGGGTGAAAATGATGATATGGAAGTGCTGAAATCAGGAAGTTAGTCTAACAGCCTTTCTTCTCTCTTGTTGGAACCTTGCTTTAGAGCATGGCATCTCATTATGAACAGGGACGTGGATAAACCTGAATACATCAAGACTTGGATGACAGAAATGATGTATATCTTGTAGGAAGAGAGAGGGTGAATATAACAGTCTATAAATATTTGAGAGGTAATAATATGAAGGAAGGGGAGGTATTATTTACAATGCTTGCAGCAGCATAACAAAGAGTGATTGCTTGAAACTAAAAAATACAAGGGAAATAATTAAATTGGGAGACGCTTCCTTTCTTAACTAAAGGTTCAATTAGACCGTTGGAACACAAGGCAATGCTTCAAGCATCATTGGCAGATGGATTTAAGAGAATTGCTTAGGACTATTCTCGAGACAATTCTTAACCTCTGTACAGGTAGGTTATTTATATTAGATAGCGAAGAGCCTAGCAACATGTTGCATTTGTGACATGGCTAGCAATAATATTGTGTATGCATTTAAATATATATATATAATGTTTAGTATGCAGTGGAGTTATTTCCAAAACACCAGTGTGGGGGATAAATTGGATTCAATTTTCCCTCCCTAATCACAATACTATGGAAAATTTCCCTCACTCCTCTCCCCTCCCCCACTTGCATACAGCCATTAACATTAGGGAGAAAAGTTGTCACTAAGCAGTAAATGATGTAGTTTTCTCTTACTATTTACTCCCATGAGAAGGGAAGGATTTATTCCCAGGAGGGGGAAGGATTTATCGATAGCATGTTCCCAAGGACAGTGCCTCAGACATACAGAGACTCATCAGCATCTGTTCTTTAGTTTTTTAAAGCACAGAAGCTTATTGCTGATCACATCAATAGCATGAGATATGGTGCATGGGCTTAAGTTCACATTAAATAAAAACAAAAGCAATGAACCCATCAAGAGTTTGCAATTGCATTTGCAAATATGTGCATGCTTAAAAATGTACGTAAATGTATATAAAAATGTATGGCAGTCTTCCCCAATTTAGATGCCCTTCAGATATGTTGGGGGAGCAATATTTCTAGAATTCCCATCTTATTTTTAGTTAATTATTTAAATTGCAAAGGATGACTGGAGATACATAATGACATTTTTTAAAAATTATGACATTTTTCCAGAGAAGTAAATATTTGTGCTTAGGCAGCTGTTCCAGCTGGGCTCACAATTTGCAAGCAGTTGCTCATAATAGAACAGGGATGCAAGCTGGGTTGCCCCATGAAGCTTTCTCTGAAGACAAGACTGACTTGGAATGCAAAAAAGCTGCAAAGGACTTCTTGCCACCTGCAGTGGTTGAAAAAAAAGCAAAACTAGACCAGTTAATTACACAGAGAGGCGGATAATTTGGTTGCAAAAACTGAACAGCTACAGATGGCGGCAGAGGTTATAGTTTTGAAATAATAAAAAATACTTGTAGCTCGCGTTTGACAGTTTGGCGGTGGTTTGCTTTCCATGCTTGTTTCAATTTACTTTCTGAAAGTTTTGTTACTAGACTAGGTAATATCAGCAGGATTTTCTTGTCCTATTCGCCTTAACTTATAAATGTCTTATGTGGCAGTTTGGTCAGTTGGTTGTGTGATTGGTTGTTCATTTGGAGCTATATTTAAATTCTGAGCAGCTGATTGGTTCGATTGGTTCTCTTGCTGATTGGCCGTTCGAATGGTCTGTTTTCTTACGTATTCATATATTGGATCTGTATCAATATACTTGTTAATTGCTCCTTTTGCTTCCAAATATGTCCAGTGACTTGGGCAGCAGCCCAAACATGATGGACCTAGAAGTCATTTCTTTTTTATTTTTCTAACCAGTGGGACTCTGTCCAGTTGTCTATCAATCCAAAAACTGAAAAGGACCAGACCTGATTTGGTATAAGCAAAAGAAAGATTGAGTTCAAAAGTGAGCCAGATTAGGCTGCAAGGTGAAGTGGAAAACATTTGCTTATAGGTGAGGCAATCAGGCAACAGCTTGGAATATTGGTGACTATTTTATATTAAGTCTCTTCTCTTCCAGTCATGTAACACAGAATAGCACATCTAGAGCAGATCCCACACTTCCCATTGCACTCATACACATATACAGTATATATATATATATATATGGGCACTGCTGGCAAATTGTAGGAATTCTCTTTAGCATACTTCACCCGCTGGACTTCTGGGCAATAACTTTATCACTGTTTTCACAGCTTGGAAAATTGGTTGCTTTCATTGTATTCAGCTTTGAACATGTTCTTTCTCTGTCCATTAGCTTTTGTTCAAACTAACATGTAGGAATCAGTAATTTGGTTCAGACAACATACTGAGTTTAGAATGATTTGTTTCATTTGTTATACTGTGTACTTCATTACATTATTAGGATTAATACTACATTAAACTAATAGAAGAGAATATCTATAACTCAGGATTGATCTGTGGAATTCTTGGTACTCTCTGAACTGGTTGTTTGTTTCCTTGTTTGCTAGTTAGGTAATGAAAAGTATTAAACTAATTTTATGTAATAAAAAAAGTTTGTAAACAATATCGACTGGATTTACACAGCACATTAAACAAATCCAGATAATCTATCCGGTAAGCGGGAAAGTTAATTTACTATGATATGTATTGAATAGCTTGTGTAAAGAAACAGTATTCACCACATGCTATTTCAATAGAAGTTGTATCCTAGAATCCACAATTAGAAGATAACAAACAAGACTTGATTGCTGATTTTATTTTGACCATTTTTATTATAATTTCTAAACACACATTTGAACTTTTTATTTGTGACTTTGTGTGTCTACTTACTCAAAAATGCACTTGGATAACTTATAGTTCAACCTTTGTTACTCTGTTTAGAATGACATGCCATTGAATTTAGAGGCATTTACTACAAGGTAATGAAGAAGAGAGATGCAGTGTAGTTGCTTTGTTTTATTTGTAGCACTTCTGAACCATACAGTTGAATGACTGCTTCTCTGCCAAAATCTTCCTTGTGTTTATCATTTTGTGGATTCTAGAATGCAGCTTTTATTGAAGTAGCCTGTGGAGAATTCCTATCAGCATATACCTCCCTAAGTTTATTTTTACAGTGAGCTTATAATAATTTTATCCCAGTCTTACTTTTCCAAGGTCTGCCCTTTTAGATATTCATAAAAGGCTTTTACTCCCTAGAACCTAGTCTTTGATATGTTATTGAAACGATTACAGTCTGATGGCATCCATACTAATATTAGACTTCACAGAATTGTAAGTGAAGTTATTTATGCTTGGATTTTCAGCTTTTTCTCTCTCAAAATGATCTATTCTAAGACAGTATTTTTCAATGTTTTTGTGTTAGCATTTGCTTCATATCCAGTGAGCTCTATCCCTCAGCTCTGACTAGTGTGGGCATCACATTGAGCCATAAATTTACTGATTTAATTTGGATTTATCATGACCATGTGTGGTTTGTGAAGTGTGGCATTATGTGTGAACCCACCGATCTAATTCAAAAAATTATGATTGTAATGTGTTTCAATATGTGTGAACTATATAAAATTCTTCAATAGGCAATTTTTTTAAACATGAAAACATTGAAAAAATTATGTGAGGGGTGAATAGGACATTCATTTTCCGTCTGAGGAAAAATGCACGTGGTTCAGATTTTAATTGTGAGGACAGTTATTCAAGAAAAAAAATATCTTGTTCATTGTCATCAAAAACTGAGAAGGGCTTTGAAGCCTGTATTGGAATATTACATCCAGTTTTGGCTGCGATGATATAAAAAAGTTGTTGAGATTCTAGGAAGACTGCAGAGAAGAGCAATAAAGTTGATTAGGGACTGGAGCAGTGGTGGGTTGCTCCAGGTTCTCTCTGCTTTTATACAACCAGTAGTAAAACCAGTGGGAGGCTCCGCCCACCAGCCACGACATCATCATGGGTGATCTTCGCATGCATAGAAACTTCTGCGCATGTGCAGAATCGCACGTTTCCGCTGCAAACCGGTAGTAAAGGTAAGTAGAACCCATCTCTGGACTGGAGGCTAAAACATATGAAGAACGGTTGCAGGAATTGGGTATGTCTAGTTTAATGAAAAGGAAAAGGGGTGACATGATAGCAATGTTCAAATATAAGGGACTGCCACAAAGAAGGGCTGTGTGTGTCAACCTATTCTCCAAAGCACCTTAAGGCAGGACAAGAAGCATAGACGTCAAGGTGAAAACTAACTGAGAAATAAGGAGAAATTTACTCACAAAACAATTACCGTAATCATTAGAATGGCTTGCCTTCAGAAGATGTGGGTGCTCCATCATTGGAGGTTTTTAAGAAGAGAATGGACAACCATTTGTCTGAAATGGTATAGGGCCGTGATGGCGAACCTATGGCACGCATGCCACAGGTGGCACGCAGAGCCATATCAGTGGGCATGCGAGCGTTGCCCTACTCAGCTCCGGTGGGACTGGAAGTCGGGAAACCGGATGTTTCCGGCCTCTGGAGGGCCTCCGGGGGGTTGAGGAAGGCTGTTTTTCTCCTCAGGCCCCTAGAAAGGCTCTGGAGCCTGGGGAGGGTGAAAAACGGGCCTACCAGGCCAACCATGCTATCGTGTGCCAAAAGCGGGGGGAGTGCAGGGAGGTCATGCACGCATGCATGGGGAGGCGGGGCGCATTGAATTATGGGTGTGGGCACATGCACGCACGACTTCCCCTGCGAACCAGGGGCAATCCACCACTGAATTACTCCTTTCTGAATTAATCCCAAAGTCTATTGGCCATCACTTGCAAGAAACTGTCGCCTCTGTTTCCAAATTAATGCAGAAGTTCAGATCAGAGTGTGCTTTGCATCTTGTGTCAAATTTGTTGTCTTAAATAGAACCATGTTTTTCAGGCAGATTATAAACGTTGATCTATGAAAAGCTGCCCTTGACTTGTCCCCAAGATAAAGTGAGAGCGGTACCAGCATAATCTCAGAGAACACTTCCTCCTTTTCAATTCATAAGTTTTATGGCTTGGATGTAAACTATTTCAACAACTACTCCAAATTCCTGTTAATTATTGATTAGATACCATTAATTAGATAGTAGATGTTCCTAACTATTGACTAAAATTATAGGAAGAGCCTAGATGAGCTCTGTACAGCCTAATGCAGAGATGTAATTCCCTAACGCTGTGTAATTTTTAATGTAGAGAATTGTAACATTTTTAGTACAAAAAGCCATGCTTCATATATAGACTCTAGGGATTGAAAGAGGTGTTGCTGATGTTTTCATGAATTCATTAGACTAGATATCCATAATATCTGGCTTACATTTCTTTGCATTTTGCAGGATTTTTAGTGTTGAATTGGAAGCTTTAACCTCAATTTTAAGGCATTTATTTTTATCCTAAATTCTGCCTCTCAGAAAAGAGGAAAAACCATTCCAGTTTCATCTAAGAATGAAAACTCACCATGTCCCTTAGCTCCCACATTACCAAATAATTAAAGAAATATTAGCCTCACACATTCCATGGAAGTTGAGCTTCACATGGGAGCCATGTGAATTATTATTGCCCAACACTAATTTAAGGGTTTAAATTTAAGGGTTTAAAACCATGAATGTGTTCTTAACATAGCTCTCAAGCTCTTAATTTCTTTGAGTATTCATTTTCCTGTGAAGCTAAGATTAATAAAATGTTCAGGGTAGAGGCCCCTCCTCATCTCTGGAGATGGCCATTTAGCTGTGGCCACTGCCTTATTTCTTAGGACAAATCTAATTTTGGATTGGGTTTGGTTATTTTACTGAATATCATTTAATACTAACTGAAATATGCCTATGAAATGCCACTTAGCTGTAATCTTCTTTACATTTTTAAAAACATAACATTTTTTCCCCTTGAAGCAGTATATCAGACCATGAGCAACGGTGCACAAACTGTGAATTAAATGTTAATGTTGAATGGCTTTCAACGACTGCCTGCTGTAATTTTTAATGCAATGAATAATCTGGAATGCCTGGTTGTATAACAAATGGAAGAACCTGTCCACAAGAATATAAATCAGTGCAGTTGATCAATATAGTACACTACTGTGCACATTGTAATAGGGTGGATCAATTTCTAGTATTAATGTCCGCTGTTGGCAACTGTGCCAACTTTTCAATGGTGTGGAAAAATATCACTGTATTTAAAACAGAACCAAGTGCTTTTCTGACCAAAAAAAAAGAAGAGAAAAAAGAAAATCATCCTTGAGAATCACATGACACTAGGCATTGACGTCTTTCCTGATAAAGCCCCTGCCTGCCCCCAGAGCTGTCTTCTCTTGTGCAGATAGGCCTTATAAGAACGCTTGATAATATTTACAACAATTGTACTGTTCCAATTTGAAGTCTTTTGCACACATCCTAGAGTTCAGTGGATAGTTTTAGCAGAATCAGAATGCCTCAGTAACCATTTTGTTTGAGGGATCGAGAGTGCCGGAGTTAGAAATGACAAGTAAGGAGCATGCAGCTAAATATAGACATCAATAGGATGAGGCCCATGCACTGTGTAATAGCAACAGTAAGCAATATTTATATACAGTTAGCAATCACTTATTTGCTCTTTGGAATATTGAACAGCTTT